GAAATGGAGGTGAAAATCCCCCTTACGTTTTCATTGTTGCTGGACTTTGAGCTGTATTTCTGCTTTTTGTAGCTGCACTGCCAATGCTCGTACCAGTCTTTGATTGCAGGACCCTTGGGGAGTTATGTCAGCCACCTCACCCTTATGGTGTGACGATGGCAGATGGCAGCGAAACACAGAAGAAAATGTAATGGTGCATTGCAAGCGAGTGTAATTCATCAGCGCTAGGGCAAAAAATACGTTGTGCACTGTTTCCTTGCATAAATGCGCAGATCACAGTAAAATTCTGTTTTTATAGACACCGAGTCTGGCTGTAATATACCTCGCTAGGCAGTTTTTCTTAATTAGTTGTGTTGAGACCACATTGAGGTTGGGTACATACGAGCGTGTTGAATAGATCTACAGCAAATAAACTTTTATTGAAGTACTGTCTGTGGTAGCAGTGGAGAATTATACTCAATATAGTCAGTGTAAATGCTTGCAGTTAAGGTGAGCGTGCAGAATAGGCAAGTCTATGTATCAATTGAGTTTTACAGATACGGACAAGCTCTTGTGCAGGTTTGTTTTGGAAAGTCTTAGTTTTATTAAAAGTGCAAAATATAACTTTCACTTAAATTCAAATTATATGGTCAAATCAATTAAGGTCTTTTGTATTAGAAAAGGAAACAAGGAAGTCTCAGGGGAGGAGGGGAAGCTAAAGGACGAAAACAAATCATTAAAGTTTATAAAAGCAATAACCTGTAAAAGCAAATTAAAAAGTATATTATCTTTTTTTACTTAATGGATGTACAAGATTTGGCAATAAAGATTAGAATTAAGTTTTCTTGTTCTGATTTAAATATTTTAGACTTCCCGGTGTGTAAGTGGAAAGGAATGAGATGCAGTAGCACACAAAAAAGCTGGTTTTATTTAAAAAATACTTTTCTAGCGTGAAATATGGTTTCAAGAGCTATTTCAGTAAAAGTTTGAAATGAGAAGCTGGTTTTGAGGTTTTTATTCATGACCTCAAAGGCAGCTGTGTAGACTTTTCTCCATAGAAAGGAGGGGAAGAAGGAAATTCTAGGTGGTAATTTAGAGCCTCTGCTTTATTATACTCAATGATATTTTTTCTTTAACCATAATACAGTTGTTTTTTTTTTCCCTACGAACACAATTTTCTATGACCCTAATACGAACCAAACATAGTCCTGTTTAATAATTTGACTGTGTCCATTGCGCCTCAATCAGGGAGACAGTCTTCTGTGGCTCCCAGCAGTAATGTGTCTATAGAGTATTTGTTTACCATTATGGTTTGGGTGTTCTCTTCATGACCACTTCACATTTCTTTTGAGGATGGGGATTGAAAAACGAAAGGCTGAAAAAGACCTCTTTTAAACTACTGTACTTCCTCAGAAGTTCCAGGGACTGTTACTTCAGCGGGAAGGAGGTACGGATTTGGAGATGAAGACTACGCTGAGAGCCGTTGTTCCCCAAGCCAAACCTCTGTCTCAGTAAGGTGGAGTGGATGGACAAGACTCCAGCCTCCCTCCCGCGGCTGGGCAGCACAGGCACCAAAGAGCGCTGGGGCTATAATTAATTTCTCTGAAGCTGATCCCTTTAACAGTCTCTTCAGGATTTTCTGTAAAAAATGAAATGTAGTGAAACTTCCTCAACTCTGCTTGCATCTTTTAAAGTAAAGCTTTTTTTTTTAAACTGAAAACATTAATGATGAATGAATAATGTACAACCCAAAACACTCTTGAATTTAGAATGAGAACAGGTTCAGGGCTTCCAGGTGTCATTAAAATGAGAGTTATGTTACAATAACACAACCTTCTCTCCTACTGAGTGCAAGGTTTCACATTTGGTCAAGGTCTAGTTCAACTGGCTGGAGATTTGAATTTTTAAATTCACGAACAGACCTTTTACGATTAAAAATAGAAGCCTGCATGCTTATTGTTTCTTGGCTGTACTTACTCTTGCTCTTTTGGCAGCCCGAGGGTACTCGATGGCGGTGAAACCACCATCCAATCTTACATGAGAAGGAAAAAAACCTAGTAATTTATTACTTCAAGCTTTCCTTAACTAAAGACAAAAAATAACATTATTTTTCTACTTTGCTATCTGCAGCAAAGAGGAACATTACGAAAGCACTACCTAAGTTTTTTTTTTTTTAAAGACTTTTTAGAGTCTTTTATCTCAAAAAATGTTCACATTTACAGATACTCAATATCGATGAATCTAAGTGTGGATACAAAAGAAGCACCATTATTTTAGAAGTTTGTAACAACAGTCTTAGAAGAACAGATGCTTTGTGAATCACGTCATGACAGCCCTATCTGAGCAGCAATGGCTTGGCAGTTACGAGTCCTTAAACACCAGAAGAGGCTGAACACGGCTGCTTTTTACAAAGAACTGTTGCAACCTCTGCTAACGTTCAGAGTTCATCTAAATAAACGTGGAGCTGGCGTTTCGTGCAGGGAGACGTTTCCAGCCTCGGTTCTGCATTGAGTAGTCGCATCTGCGGTTACAGGTTGGGCAGGTGCTGCAGTGGATGGTGAGCTGCTGCCATTTGAAGGTAACACCTGGAAGTGTGAATGAGTTCAGAGCCCAGATTCAAGCAGGGTTGAAAACTTGGCCCCAAAAAAAGTCTTTTAGAAATTAGAGATCGCAATTTAATTCATACTTATTAAAACTTTTTTTGGCAATGGTTACTTTCTTTTTCTGTAAGGGCCCTTTGTCTTGCAGTTGCCATACATTTATTTTCAACATACTTCTCGCTAGAAGTTAAAAGTGTAACTTTGAAGTATTCTATACTGAAAGGGGACACAGCGTGGCAATGGATTAATGTCTTTCAGGGAAATTTAGTGGAAAAGAGAGGCTACGAATCCCATGGGGATACTTGTTACGGATGACTGACTACAGGATGGTTGTACGAGGGCTAAGGAAATCTGCTGCCTTCTGCAATCGAAGTCGGAAGGTACAGATTTACTGTAGATTTGACTTAACTTTTACAGTGCTGTGGGTGGATAATAACTGTGTTGATTGTTATCCTCTGCTGGAACAGAACTTTCTGAAGAACACTAAATCTGTCCAGGAACACAAAAGATCAATGTAGCAAAAGCACTAATTTTTTTAGTACCTAGTGTGGATTATACCTATTCTTGATGGTGGGTACGTAGAAAAATGACTGAAAAGAAAATGAAAACCTGCATATGCTTAGTGTGTGCCAAATAACTACCATCAGCTATCAGACTTTCTGAACTTAGGAGAATAGCAATCTTGAATTTTACCTAGTTATGTCAAATGTGGGAAAAAAAGTAAAAATATGTCATGCTGAAAAAACAGGTAACATTTATTTCGGGACATCATTATCTCCATCAGCTTTATTTAGGGAATTTGGCAACAACAATGAAGATGAAATAATGTATTTTGACAGTATGTGCAAAGGCCTTGAAGAAAAAATAATGGGATTGCACAGAAATTCTCTTCTGAGTAGTGCCAGTATGCATTTATGTGAACTGTATTGCTTCTGAATGTATTATTAGAATTTCTTCTTTGCAAATATATCTTACTGTACTTTTTGTACCTTATTTATCAGGGAAGGTAAAAGCTTCTAATCATTATTGGAAAATAAGTTTAAATATCAGTAGATTATTACAATCTCTAAGTATTTCCCATGAAATATTCCACGAAACTCGTCTTTTTTTCTACATACCTTATTTGTTCGATGCTGATAACACCAACGTGCAGTTACTATCTGGTGTTTCCTCATCTATGTGGAAGAAGTTAGCCCGTTACTTTTGTGAGGTTGTAAAGACCTTTTGAAAGGAGTATGTTTGGCTTTTAATGTTTAACTATGTGGATGAAAAAAAAATCTTCTGCCATCTTAGAAAAAATTAACTCAGTGGGGCCCAATTTGTTGAGAACCTGTTGTTACCTCAGCTTTATTAAGTAATCTAAGGAGCATTACTGGTTAGGACAAGGAAAAGTAAGAAGAGGAGGAAAAAAAAACCTTTAAAAAATAATAAAAAAAAAGAAAAAAGATGAGAGAAGAATATGATTTTTGGTCAGGGATGCAGAAAGGAGCAATGCAATCCAATGTCCGTCCAGGCTTTATCAATGAATGCACTATAAATATTTTTGAAGCATTGTAAGGGAATCATGCAGGCATGCCTTGATCAAGATTTTCAGAAGTAACTACTTATTATGAGTGTTTCAATTTTGGAATGTTTTAGATGAAAAAAAAATTAAGGGAATATGATTTTCAGAAAATGCTGAAGAGTTATATGGAAAATGTAATGTCTTAAATTGTCATAATTTTGAGGTCCTAAAATCACCCATTTTTTTCAAAAAATACTCATTTCTGTAATTTTGTAGCTGGATTGATAGCCATCCCCTGGATTTCTGAACACTGGTAATGTTTTCCATCTGTTCTGCAGCTTGGGCAGTGCCCAGAAGGTACACAGCTAGAATCTGTTGCAGTTTAATACCTGCACAGCAAATTGCTGACCTCCTCCTAGGGTACAATAGCCAAAGGTCCATATAAGAAGAACCGTGCAGGCTCAGGGCGACTCTGCGGTGTTGCGGTGTCCAGGCATCCACTCTTACCTTCTTGGGGTGGTAAACCCAAGATTTTGATAAAGGAGAGGTTTAGTATAAAACAAAACTTTAAAACTTACAGGAAAATGTTACGATTGTGCCCAGCTCCCAGCCATTTCAAGGGGAGTTATGAATTAACGGTAGCTCTCACAATTAACCTGGTAATGGTGCAGCATCTCTTTGTCAGTCGTATGTATAGGCATTATTTTTGGCATCAGAGAATGGTCTGCTTGTTATCCTTTTAAATACTCCTGTAACATGATTTCTGCTTTAGGGAACCTTAGTACTTGTTCTTGATTTTTCACTATTGTAAAGATCTCATAATGTTTCGTAACTTAAAAAAAAAATCCAGAAAGACAGCATATTGAATCTTGTAAGAATAAGATTAACATAAGATACAATTATTTTATGTGCTACAGGTGTCAGACTTTGGAGCATGTGCCAGAAGCAAACGAAGAGCTGTTGGACGCGGGGCCGGCAGACAGGCGGGAGTACGGTACCACCAAAAGTCCGGAGGCTGGCCTCCCCTCCCTTTGTCTCAAGCAAGTGTTTCCCAAGTACGCGAAGCAGTTTAACTATCTGCGACTTGTGGACAGAGTGGCTGCACTGTTTATCCGATTTCTTGGCGTAAAAGGGACAACAAAGTTGGGGCCAACAGGTTTCCGAACATTTGTAAGGTTAGTAAGGTGAATTTCTTTAGGAATTGCTTAAAGCGTAGTCAAGAAGTTAGAAACTCCCGATCCGATGGGGTAGCACGGCTGTCCCTGTGCTTATCTTAAGTTTTGTTGAATAAAAGCAGGCCCTAACAGTGGTGCACTTTTAGCTTGTAGGTTTAGTAATGCCTTTTAAAGAAACTTTTCCCCACAAGTTCCATTGAACCATTGCATATTTTTTTATAAAATAGATATATTTTTATCATTCCAAGCTCCCAAAATACCTGACCTATGAAACTGTGTCTAGTAGGAACCTGGGTCTTCACTGTACAGCAGATCAGTGATACTTCGGGAGACGCTATTTGCAGTCTTAGTCAACATGTCATGTCCCTAGTAAATTGTGAGAAAGTGACAACCAAAATTGGGTCACTTGAGATCGGATTCTGCTGGCAGTGGGGGCACAGCTGTCTGCCCCAGGCCACAGGAAAGGATTTCCAAATGCCAGTTGCTGATGCATTGTGCGCTAAGGATTTGCATTGTGAAATTGCAACTTGCAATGGCAAGGAACTCAATTTATTTTTTCACATACTTCTTATTTGTGAGGTTTTGTCGTTGTTTTTTATGGATATATCTGTTCTAGTCATGGTACGAGTATCTCATTTTCTGTCTTTCATTGACAATGACAAAAGGAAGCAGCAGCAGATGTACTCTTAAAATACAAACCCTGTTTCTAGGCAGCTGCATTTAGCATTCAGGAATGAATATAAATAATTTGATTTATACAAATTGCAATATATAGAAAACGACTGAAAGCATCTGCTCAATCCACAGACCAGTACAGGACTGTTTCCAGTTCTGTATTTTCTATTGTTTAGTCCAGCCTTAATTTGGCACTTGTCAGAGGAACACAGAACAAATGCCAACATTTTCTTTTAAGAATATTAAAATAAATTGTCATATCTCAATGAAATAGTGTTTGCAGTTTCCTAATGCATGTTAAATTAAACGTTTTAATATTGGCAAATATTTTGTTTATTTTTCCCCAGAGGATCTATACCAACTGTATGGTCCTTTTCTGAAATGCTGTCATTACTACTCATTTCAGAAATAAGGTCATGTTTCAAAGATGTGTGCTGTATCACTTTTCAAGAATAAAATGGTAGACAAGTGTGATTGTGTGTGTGTGTGCGCGCGTGCATGTGGGCAAGTGGTTGCAGAGATTATGCACTCAAATTTTAGCTAATCATAATCTGTTCCCCTTCAATAATTTCTTCATCCTAAAAAATAACTAAAAGGGAAATGCTGAACATGGCTCTAGTCCTTGCTTGGATGCTGCCTAAGATTTTTTTTTGGCACTATCTAGGCCAGACCTTAACTCTCTGTTTTAAGGGAGCTCTGCTTAGGCTACTAAAGAGTAAGATTCTTTTAAATTATCTGGTTTTTTTGGTTGGGTTGTTTTTTTGGGTTTTGGTGGGTTTTTTTGGTTGGGGTGGGGTTTTTTTCTTTTTTTTTTTCTGGCTAGAAATTTTGGCCAGCTCTTTGGTATGTGCCCTAGTTCGAGCCAGGCTGCCAGACATCTGGAAATCCTGGACAGATGGCTAATTCTTATATACTGATCAACACTACACTGCAGGCTCAGACCACACAAGTGTCAGATCTCCTACATGTGCTTATCACCAAATGCCCGAGATGCATCCCGAGATGCTGCTGTTTTCCATGCAGTGTTCAGTAATGCACAGGGTAAATCTGTTCAGTGTTCAGGCACGAAGAAGTAATTCTGTGCCTGAAAGCTTTCCTCCAACCCTTTTCAAACAGGATCAGTCAGTCAAATAAAAGAGTATTTCTCTGTGCAGACTCTGCCTCGTAGATAGTCTGTGCAGATGTGTGTTGGGTTTCACAGTGTTTCGCAGTTGATTCCATTCTGTTACGGCCTCAGAAAGAGTACTAGCAATAGCCTGGGAGAAAGCTGTGTGTAACCGTCTACTCGTATTTTTAATTGAAATATTCAGGGTTTGTTTGGTTTTTTTTTTTTTTACTGCTTTGTTGCAAAACCAAAATAAATCAGTTAATCTGTAATCTGACCTGCTGCCTTTTGTGGCTAGACATTGACATGAGATTGCACGTGCAAATCGGATTTAGATGCATGCATCGAAGTGGGCCATTCCTCCTGCCCAGAGCCCCTTCTGGCAGAGGTGGTGCCTGCATGATCTGCACAGGCAGCAGGACTAGGTACATACACGGTATGTTCTGCACGGGAAAAATTCAGGGCCTTTACCATTTCAGATACACACACTTAATGAACAGTGGTTTGTTTGCTGTCTGCTGTATGTGTTGTGTTAGACTAAGCATGTTACAGTGGGTGTGTACGTATGACATGGGTAAACTTTTCTCCCAATGTTCTCTCAGTTGCCCTTGCAGAATTTTTCCTAACTCGGAAGTTTGGATGTAATCAGAATTTTTTCTTTGTCTATCTTTAACAGAAACTGCAAACTGAGTAACAGCAGTTTTTCAATGGCTTCTGTAGATATCTTATATATTGATATCACAAGAAGGTGGAACAGCATGGGAATCGACCACAAAGAATCAGGTAACACTATTTTGTATTTGAAGACTATGGAAGCTGGGGTTTTGTAGTTTTGGTAGCTCAAGCACACCTCAAACGTTCAGTAAAAATAATGTGAACAAGGCATGTACATCTGAGCCATGTACATGTACAACAAATTCTTCTGTTTAGTTCCCTGGCAATTTCCCTTTATCTATAGAATAGATCACTCTTAGTTTTCAATTTATGTATCGGAACAAGTCTTCTGCAAGCCCCTTTTTATGGTTGCAATTTTGCATTCATAATTCTTGTTGCTGTTTGCAGAGAAGTGTTTAAAAACATTCCCTGTGGAACCTCCAACTTAATTACAGTGTAAGAAGGTATGTCCATATTAGTGTAGCTTACATGGTCTAGCAAAAAATGACCAAACAAAAAGCTATGCGGGAGGTAGAAATATACACATAACTTCTCTTTTTGATTTAATTCTGTTCCCCAAAAAGGTTACTTTGGGGACGAACAAAACTACCTGTATTACTTTTCCTTTCCCACACCTGCCCCCCACCCAACAGTATACTCCCTTTTTTCATCTTCACTGTCTTTGTGACAGGTAAGGGAAGGGCAATAGGTTTCTGCACAAACTCGCACAGTGCTCAGCTATTAAATAGGCTCTTCCTAAGGATGAGGAGCAGCGCTTTTTGCTACAAGCACCCCTTACTGGAAATTGTGCTCCTGTTTGTTCGTATAGGAGCATGAGTCAGTTAAGTCACTTTTAAACATTTCAACATGCAACTTGGATTGCAATGCTCAGTGTAAGAGCGTACTCGGAATGGCTGAAAGACTTTCATAAGAAATTCATCTACCCCACAAGGATTCACTTGTCCTGTGACGTCTTTCCTTTAGCTGGTCAGAGGCACCGTCTGCAGGAGGTGCCAGGTCCGTACCGCAGCGTGCCACTCAGTGTCCCTTCCATTGGACAGCCTCTGGAGAGATATTACAAGTCATTCATCTAAATTATTTACTTCTAACTTAGGAATATGCATTTAAATTAAAATACAGCACTTAAAGATGTTAGCCAAGAACAGAGGCTATGGGAAGTTGTTCACTGAACAGCAGTAAGGATTTTCTACAGTTTTAAAGCCAAAAGGAAAATGTTTATTAAACTGTGTGATCTTATTCCCAGCTTCTTTGGTGATTTACTGTGTTACCATCACATATCTTCTTGATAGTGCAGTTGAGTGGTTGCAAAAATGAATATAAATACTCTCCTATTACAGAACTGCATTTAGAATATTAAGCTATTACAAGAAATCCCTCACAATTTAATAAGCAGGCCAGAGGGAGCATTCCATCCATGTCTTTGGCTTTCTGTTTAAAATTTTATTACATTGTTTGGTTATTTTTTCTAGATTTATACATAAACATGAAAATAAGTTTCATCTGAAAAAAACAGAGCTCTCCGACTGCCCAAATCCCGACTGTATAAATCACACTGTTCAGGCTGAAGTTACAAACTGTCTTCAGTTTACCTGTACCCACGGTAGAGTTCGCCCACATTTACTTCTTGGGCTTATAAGACAGATTTTTCATAAATGACTTTCAAAGAAAAACAAACTAATTGAAATGTCAGTGTTTTCTCTCGTGAGTTTGGCTGTTATCTTCTGCTCACACTAAAGGGTAGGTGTTCTTAGATGTAATTACTTGCCCCACAGTGAGAAATGGCCATAGTAGCTTTGGATCCCCGCGGATAACCCTTGGACCCCAGAGCTGACTTTGTACGTGCAGATCAGTGAGATCACTTTCTGATGTAAATATTTTCTGTGTTGAAATTCAGAAAAGATTTCTCTCAACAAAAAAACTCTTCAAATCTAGTTTTTCTAAATGTTTGAATATACAATTTTTTCCTAAGCTCCATTTCAGGATGCTCCATTTTCTGCTACTTAATGCAGATTGCATTTGCAAGTTTACCTGAGGTTGCTAAAGAAGATTACTTGCTTGTGAGAATAGGTGATTACTAAACATCAACAATGGGTTTCTTCTGTTCACTATCTTAGGGACTTAGGTTTTTAAAGCAAACATACTTGCTTCATAAATATTTCTGAAATATTATTGAGGTGTTCATATGGTAGATGTCGCTAGGGCAGCAGAGCATTGCATGAGGAGCCCAGATCTACTTCTGAAAATCCCTACTGTGCAGCCCAGCTACGATGTTCAGTCTTTGCTTTAAAAACGTGGTGTGTTTTCAGTTTTAAGTCTTGTTATTTGTCCAAGATCCCTAGGTGCGAGGCAAATATTTGTAAAAATATGTTTGTAAAAGTTGGTCTTCAAGCATTTTTGCTTCAATCACAGTCTGCATTCTGTTGTTGTCTTTTCCTGTGTTCTTAGGTTTGCTTGGGGGTGTGCACTTAGCAGGTTTCTAGGCTGTATAGCCTGAGAATCTGTCCTCTGCAAAAAGTGGTAGGTTAATAACAGAAATAGGGTGTTCAGTTCTTCGGTCAGAAGGTGAGACACTTTGGAAAGTTCCAGAATATCTACATTCCTATTATGTGCTCAGCCTTATTAGTGAGAAGGAAGGTTTGCAGTTCTCAGTGAAATAATTAAGAACAAAGAGTGTTTCTCTGGTTAAAGAAATCATATTTGCATAAGGCATTTTTAAAAGCTTCGTGAGCACCTGATCCATATATGTTAGATATAATTTTGTAAGGTGTTCACAATGAGTTGGTGAGTTTGTTACTGACGTTTATGAAGAAAACCTGTTGAAAATGAATAAACAGAAGAAAACCTTGTATAATTTGCTAGAGGAACAAACAGCCAACCTAGCCTTCAGTAGTGAATTACCTCCCCATCTGCTGTGGTCACGTTTTTAGATCTGAGACAGTAATCTATCAAACAGCAGAGTTCAGGGATTATTTTCTTGTTATATTAATCACCTAAATACACCATTTAATATATAACTTAATTTCTAAAATTGCTATGACATTTCTATGTGAACTTAAGTCCATAAATTTGGCAACTTCTCCATAGCTTTTGTAAAATGTTGAATAATTTCAATTGCGTTAATATTCCCATCTCAACAACAAGAAGTTGTTCTTGACATAACTTTTTTTGAGCCGTTTATAGCAGGGAAACAGCAGCTGGAGTATTCTGGAAGGCTTTATACCACTGCTCCTCGTGGCTGTCAAGGAGGATTGTCAGGGCTCCATTTCAATTAGTGTGGGATAAAGAAATCCACCTTGATGCCGCTGGTATAAACTAGCATGCTGGTCACAGCTGCAGCTGGCATCTTCCCAGAAATTGGTTCAAAATACATTTTTATATAAGAAACCGAACATGGACATCAATGTATATACTCCTGCATCTTTTTTTAAAAATGCTAAAATAGCAGAAGAATCAAAAGTCTCCAAGTTGAGACTGACTTTGTTATCCACACCTCTAAAATACGTCTGTAGTTCTTTCCTGCGTAAACATCAAGAATCAGTGATACACACTAATAATTTCTGGTGTGGTTATAGAAATTGACCACAAATAGTGTGGTCATAGAAATTGACCAAATAATTTTACTATTATTAATTGAAATTTGTAAAATTACTTGTATGTAACCTTTTTTTGAATATTTGAACTTGCTTCAGAAATGTTAATGAAGTTTTTGTTTGTATGAAATAGATAAGTATTATTTCGTTTTGCTTGAACATAAGTATCCTATAATATCCTCTAGAGTCTGTGTAGGTGGAGTCGGATAAGGCAAAAGGAGAATAAGTAAAATAGTCTGTTCACATGGCTGGTAGAAGGAATAAATCCAAATCTAAGATTAGAAGGGAGAAAATGAAGGTATAGTGCAGAGGAGATAGAATGGTTCATTATATGTGAACTCCCATACTACTTTAGGTAGGTTAGGGTCACCTTAGTTTCACAGGCATGTAAAATTTGAGTATTCGCATTTAGCATTTCAGTGTGGGTATAAGTCATTTATGTGGTTAGCTGATAGACTTTCACTAGCAAAAATAATACAAATGCAAGTGAATCTCCAGGCTCTCAGAAATTAAGAGATTTGTTGAGAGTTGCAATGAACCAGATGTGTTCTAGGTGTCAAAACACAAAAAACCAAGCACTTCTGTTGGCTTTGCGTTTGGCCCACTCTCAGCTGTAACCAATACAGTAACTATTGCTGCTGTTGTAAAGCAGCAGCTTCTAACTTTTTTTCATTAAATGCTTCACATGAGTGTCACTTACTGGGGAGAAAGTGTGTATGCTACCAGAGGTGCTTTCCCTGCCTGCAGCTCACCGTGGCTGATGAAATAATTTACTGAGCTGGCAGCTGCTGCTTTCAGATAACCCAACAATTCCTTTGCAAGCCACTTTACAGCCAAGATCGTAAGGGACCCCAGCCGCAGTCTTAGTTGAGAGAAATTATACTTCAGAATGTAATTGTAATACTTTGAAAAGGTGCCTTTCCTGCAGCATCAATAAGCCAACATTGTTAAAAAACCCAAACCTTTCAATACCTCATCCTAAAATAATCTTCTTAAGTGTATGTTCAAACTGGGAGAGCCAGCTAAAGCACAAAGCAGCTATAACTGTTCCTTGTTGCTGGCATTCTGCAAAACCGATTGTGGTCTGGCTTCTTAATTAAGCATTAAAGTAGGTATTACTTCAAGGTTTTAAATACAATAATTAGCGTTAGTATGCAGCCCCTCTTTCCATTGGCTGTGGTAATGTGTTATTAGTAAGATGTGATCAAACAACACCTGAAGAGTCCGTTCTGCAGCATGTGGTTTCTGCGGGGTACTTCTGTTTGTGAAGGGGCAGAGCAGAGAGTTTTATTATAGCAGAGAAATTTTTTGGCACTGCACCACTTTCCCTTCGTACACACTTCAACTGTTTGTTTTTCACTCAGCTGAAACAAAACTACTATTGTAGAGCTACTGGGTATGGCTGAAAAAATGGCCTCTTTGCCTTCAAAAGGAAGGCTAAGGACTCACACCTAGTACAGTCTTCGCAGAGAGAAAGCAACACTTCACATAAACTCACTTCTGCGATAAGGTGATACTTGGTAATGGGGTTATCTTTATAGTGCTAAAGACTGAAATGCCATACTGTTTCAGTAGTTCTACATTTGAACTTTTGTTTTAGGTCCATTTCTAAAAATACAAGGTTTAAATGACCCAGTTCAGTTGCCAATATAAACTTGTTTTTCTCTCCAGGTGGATTGTTTTCCTTGAAGCTCAATATGTTACTGTGTGTCTGATTTGGTGTCAACTTAATATTTGAGGCAGCAGAAATCGAGCCTGATATTACATGAATTTAATTGTACAGTATCTTAAAATCAGTTGTTGCTGTACCAGTTTGCCTCTGGATGCCGGGCTGCTGGTCAGGCTGCTGTCTGTAAAACCAGAGGTAGCCGCAGTGATAGGGAGTATCACCCGTCTGTAACCCAGCCTGGGCTTACCCTGTGCTGAGACGCTAGATGAGCTCATGTGCATGTTACATACAAATAAAATCTTGTCTTTTGGTTTTTGAAGGACAGGCAATTTCTCTTCCTATTGAGCATTCTAGATGGCTGCTGTTTAAATTAAAAGATGTTCACTAACACGATTGTATGTGTCCACAACCCAGCATGTACACATTTGACCTTGGTGCTAAAGAAGCAAGAGATATTATTACGTTTAAAGAACGCGGTTTACTAGAGAACACTGGGCTCTGAATCTCCTATGAACACCTTTTTCTTGCAGGAATGTGTTTGCAAGCCTTTGTTGAAGCTTTCTTTTGCCTGGCTCAGAAAAAATACAAGTCCCTCCCGCTTCATGAGCAAGTGAAGTCGCTAATCGATTTTTGTGAGTATCATCTGGCTGCCCTGGATGAAAAGCGTCTGGTTTGTGGCCGCGGGATCGTGGAGCGCCGAAGTGCAGTAGTTCCTTGTCAGACAGATGGACTTCACCTTACACCAGCTGCACATACGGCCCTCCTGAATCGCACAGCCACAGCTACTAAATTTGCAGATTATAGAAATCATCGCTATTAACGGTGCTAATTCACCAGGACAGAACTGAGAATTAATCCCTAGACACGTATACGTACTGCAGGGGGAGAGACAGACTCTTGAATTCCTTTATCTGATGGTCACAATTATTTATTTCAGCTTTTTTTATTTACACTCTTCAAAAAGTCTACTGCAAGCTCCCATTCTCAAATAATGATCCTGGCAGTGGCTATTTATTTACCTCTCTGTTGGACCTACAGTACACCTCACGCGACAAACTGTGCTTTCATCCCAAGTGTATAGAAAACCATGTGTGAAGACAAGGACCAAAATACAGTGGGATGATAACCAGCATCATGGGGTTGGTTGCACTGATCAAGAGGCACACTCATAGCAAAGGAATTACACTGCTTTGTATGCGCAGGATGTATCATGGAAACCAAGTAAGGAGAGCTGCAGTCCCAAATACCAGCTGTGGTATGACTTCGGAAAATGGAAACCTGGAATTATGTTTGTGGTCAGACTTCAGGCTTTGACCCTCTTCTTTCTGTGGCTTGGAGTGTACATGTTGGAATCAGTACAGATTTGGTCATTGTCTATGTACTTATTTTTTTAAGTCAATCTTCAAACACTGAAATCATATTTTGGCTTCTACTTCTTTGTACATGTCTTTGCCATGACAAGTACTGTTAATTTTTTAAAAGAAAAACAAAAGATGTTTATCCTTTTACTTCCACAGAACCAATAAGCTCGCATTTATTCACAGAAAACACTTACTTCATTAAGTCAAATTCGGTGAATCAACCGGTGGTTTTGTCTTCAGGTACTAAGCACTGCTTCTGCAAAAACCCTTACAGTGTAAAGGCCTAAGACTTCATTTAAACTCCAGTGAAACCAATCCTGTCACTGACTTTAGCCTAAACTAATTGCATTCTAGGTTTGCTTATTTTTTACCTTCTGCTTGTTTGTTACCCTATTTGGACCTGCAGTAACATCTAGAGCAGTGGTTTTTCTTGTCTTCGCACATATTCTTCATTTTTTCCCTTAAATAACATATAAGTCTGTACAAATTAGATCTATATTATTTAACAGGATATTTTGTCAAGAATGCTGGACTATACTGCTGGAGTTGTACATAGTAGTCTTTTATTTTTCAAGAAATGAACCATGACTTCCATAATCACACTCTTCTTGCAGGGGCCTAAGAAGGACATGAGACTGGCTAAAAGGACATGGAAAGCTTGGAACTTCAGGGCTGTTCAGTCAAATTCTTTTCGGTCTCATATTTTATTACAATAATGTATGTCTACATCTGAATTTGATTTTCCTCCTTTGTTCTATTCTTTAATGTTAATGAATCTACTTATGTTCTAGTGTTCTTCATCCTGTCAAAAATCGCGAAGCTGTAAGATGGCACAACGCCTGGGCATTTAGGTTTCGACTGGGGAAAACTACCCGAGCTTGATATCGACGTGTTCCCATGGCTGGTGTATCAGGAACGTGACCTCACAGGGAGCACACTGTCAGTGCAGAGGGAGTCCACCCATTTAATGTCATGGACTAAATGCACACGCAGTATTGAGTGAGTTTTTACTTCAGGAAAAGTTTAGAGTTTGCTTTCCTGATGTTAGTTTTAAGCAGCATCCGTTTTTCCGAAGTGGCAATCAGCAGCATGGCAATACAATGCAGAAGTCAAGCTGAGCCCACAAGAAACTGATCCCTAGCATGTGTTAATATGAGATGTGGGCGTCCCTTCTTCTCTTTGTCTTTTTCTGTAACACCAGTAAGAGTAGTAGTAGATGATCTTCTTTAGTTCAACGGCTAGACTGTTTGAAATTTTATGTATTGTACATAAGAGGACAATTGTCGACTAATGCCACTGCCCTCAGCCTTGTTTAAGTTTCGTAGAGATTATTGCAGTATGAAGATAAAATGCCAAACTCCAAGGTCTGGCATCTGTCAAAACAAATGAAGCCGAAAGGGTCATTTTTTTCACACTTTCATTGTAATATATTTGAAGACATTCACACGTTGAAAAATGGTTACTTCTCATTTTGTGACATCTGACATTTGTCTTGCGATTGGCAGCGTGTTACTAGAAAATAGCTTACAGTTTCTCTCATCTTGTGATTGATGTCCTGTGAAGACAGAGTTATAGAAGAGTCGGATTTGAAATGTTACAACTGCGAATGCCTTTCCTTACAGCTTTCAAGTAGTACAATCTATGGCCTAAAATATCCAGGTTTTACTATTGTATAAGCTACCCTGATATCAGTGGAATAAATTAACTATTGTATATAATGAACACTGGTAAGATCTCTCTCTATTTTGGAGATCTTTACAGTCTCTGGATCTAATACAGATTTTTATAGCCTGTGCATGCACAGGCTGATGCAGTGTGCCCTGTTTATCTCCCACTTCAAATATGAAGGGTCCCTTGTAGAATAGTCAAAATATTCATTATCTGCCTTAGTAATCCAGTGTTCATGTATCTATATAATTGGAAAATTGAATGCCATATTATTCTCAGGGGGAGGAGGGGGATAAAACAGGAGTGTACTTTAGAGACTTAATGACAAAGTCACATTTCTCTTCCCTGCCATCTAATGCAATTTCCTCTGAATATTATTTAGCATCCAAAGCAATTTCACATAGCCTTTAAGTTACCCGTCTGCGCACATGCAAAAAAATGACCAGAGACACTTTATTCAGAATATGAATGCTAATGCACTGATAATCCCCGAGATACCTTTCTAGCAGAAGAAACAATATATGAAAGGTAGTAGGTGGGTTTTTTAATAGTACTTTTCTATGTATTCTTTTCAGAAAATAATACAGCACTCCCTGTTCCATTTATGACATATGATATGAACATTGCATATCAGTGAAATCTTTCTCGTTAACAGACACACTGGGTCTGGTATTCCTCATGGGTATAAATCAGAATAAAACACTTTAACATCTAAGGAAGATTTGAGGCAAGTGAGTCCAGAATTTCAATCCAGACATCCCCCTTCCCTGCAGGCTTGTGTCTAGCCCAAATGTGCCTAAACTCGGCGACTCCTTGTTTGATTTTGAGTTCTTTCTCTGCACAGAGCTGTTTGTAGGCTAAGTCACTTGAAATTTGTCTTCTGCCTAATCTCGGTTGGGCTCTTGAAACTTAATTGCCCTCTGCCCAAATGCCCAACTCGCCCTATTACAGCTGTATGTTTTGGGAACATGTCATGTACACCAAGCAGGTCACTTCACTTGCCACGCACTTCTAGCTACTTTTCAAGCACAGCTGGAAGGGGAGAGACTCAGCTAACGACACAGTTAATGCTCAGGTGAGAGACCCAAGTCCACCTGCTTCAGCGTTCGTCTTCTCAGCTGGAGTCACCTGTGCCATGCAGGTGACTCCTTTCTACTGGCTTTACCCCTCTGGTTGCATTAGTCTTGCGTTCAGTCTGTCATCAGGAGGTCGAAGCATCCTTCCCAGAGATGGGTGACGGCAGTTTGGAAACCCTGGTGATGAGGAGGGATCTAGTCCTCCTCCCGCCTGAGCCCCGCGCAGTTCACCGAGCAGGGTAGGTGCATATCCTCATACTCTGGGTGCTCGAGTCGGAATGGGCTGGAGCCTCTGTGGTGATTTTGGGGGTTGACAAGGGCATTGCTCCTGCACTGCTGGATGTGGGAGCCCTCAAGGGCTACACTAAGGTTGTAGGAGGAGCAGCTGCCAGCTGGGTTCTACCTTGATGGTGCCTCAACTCTGTTGCACTTGCTTACTACAGTATGAGCTATGAATGACTCTCATAGTCGCTGTCACAGCCCCTCGTTTCTAGCCAGCACTGTCTGACCTTATTCTGATCTCCATCTGATGGACAGTAACGATCTGCTTCTAAATATTACCCTGTTCCCTCTAATTTGTTTTCCATCATGCTTTGCTGTGTTTCCTCCTAATTCCACAGTTTTGTGTCTCGGCTTGCCTAATAAACTGATGTGGTCAATTTGGCTGAATCCATTAGTTCAGCTTCCCGTGTTGCTGTACAACCGTTTCTGGAAGATGCATATCTTCATTTTGAAGGTGAGTCTATCCTGCGTCGTCTCTTTGAGGTGTTACCATGCGTCAAGCTTTGCTGAGTCGATGCATCAATTTGAGCTTTCCTGTGTGCGTGGTTAGAGGACTGACTGATCTCTGCAGCCTTGCTGGGTGGGTGCCAGCTCTCCAGCCCCTCTCCTCTCAGTCCCACTGCCATGGACACAGTGGTTTCCAGTGCGTGGGCTTTCTGTTTCACAGAGCAGAAATGCACGATAAATCACTACTTGGTCAGGTCCAGCCCTAGCAGCAGGAGCCCCGGTGGGCTTCCCAGAGCACTCCCACGCAGGGAAATCTCCACGGCCACGGGGGGAGTGGGGCCTGGCTCCCTGTGCCTGCGGGCACCCGCAGGGGCTCTGGCCCAGCACTTCCAGAACCTTCCCGGTGGTGGCCGCCGTCGTGCGGAGTGGCTGTTTCCTACCCGGGGCAGCTGCTGGGGAGTAACGTCCACGGGGGGCGGCGGGGGAAATGTCGGCCCGGCCAGAGGAGGGGACCGGTGGGGATCGTCCCTCCGTGGGAGGTTTGTCATTGTAGAGTCGTGAGTGAAGTGGGTCATTTTCATAACCATCGCTGCTGTTTATCAATGAGAAGGAAACAGATTGCGGAGCCTTGTGTGGGCTTTACACCGTCAGCAGCTCGGGGAGCGTGCCGAGGTGCTGCTGCGCAGTTCGTTAGTTTGAAACTAGGGAGATGAGGTTGAAGTAATTGGCGCATCTGTTCTGGATTGTGCTTTTTTCCACCTCTGATCTGCATCACCTGCAGAGGTTGATAAAAGCCTCTTACAGCAGGGAGCTGTGTGCGGCATCACCCTGTGAGGTGGGGACGCTGTGGGGACGGTGCGGTGGCATGAGCAGGTGGATCCTCTCCGTTGTGAGTTCCTCATGATCACTTGAAGTCAGGGCTGTGCTTACCATTGGCTTTGCTAACACTGTTCAATTGCTATTAAATGGACCAAATTCAGTAGTGATTTATAAATATTGTTAGGAAATACATCAGTAACAAGTCCTCGACAGATTATGCTAAGAGACGTGGTGTAGATGTGGAGATGAAGAACCTGGGTCTCAGTTGTTCCCCCCAGCAGTTGGGTGGGTGTCGTGGTTTAACCCCAGCCGGCAGCTAAGCCCCACCCAGCTGCTCGCTCACTCCCCCCCGGTGGGATGGGGGAGAGAATCGGAAGGGTAAAAGTGAGAAAACTCGTGGGTTGAGATAAAGACAGTTTAACAGGGAAAGCAAAAGTCATGCACACAAGCGAAGCAAAACAAGGAATTCGTTCACTCCTTCCCATCGGCAGGCAGGTGTTCAGCCATCTCCAGGAGGGCAGGGCTCCATCACGCGTAACGGTGACTTGGGAAGACAAACCCCATCACTCCAAACGTTCCCCCCTTCCTTCTTCTTCCCCCAGCTTTATATGCCGAGCATGATGCCATGGGGTGTGGGATATCCCTTGGGTCAGTCGGGGTCAGCTGTCCCGGCCGTGTCCCCTCCCAAATTCTTGTGCACCGCCAGGCTGCTGCTGGTGGGGTGGGGTGAGAGGCAGAGAAGGCCTTGACTCTGTGTCAGCACTGCTCAGCAGTAACGAAAACATCCCTGTGTTATCAACACTGTTTCCAGCACAAATCCAAAACACAGCCCCATCCTAGCTACTGTGAAGAAAATTCACTCTATCCCAGCCAAAACCAGCACAGTGGGAGTGCAGGCAGGAGGGCTGTGGAGGCCCTCAGGATCGCAGCGGGCTGAAAGAGCGAGTGATCTTTAGTGGAACATAAACAGATCTTTAGAAAAGTGATTTTTTTTTTGTTCCCCCCTCACCTCTGCTCTCCCATTGCCCTCTGTGTTTTAATCAAAGAACTTCATTTATTTTTGTTGAAACTCTTGTTCTCACAGCTTTTAACTTCTGCGTTTTTTACCTCTGCTTTTCCCTTTTATCTTCCTACTTTTCCCTCCCTTATTGTCATGATGAAGGAGGGGAGAACTGAACTCTCTCACCTTCCCTCTCCCAATCCTGCTTTTTTTGGTATTGTCAAGAAGTTAGATTATTGAACTCTACAGTTCTTACTGATGTTATCAGTTTTGGAGAGGGTTGCTTTGCAGGGAGGCTTTGTCTGAAGACCTGGGAGCTCCTGGCAGCAGCCCAGCTCCCTGGAGAGCCCCGGCCAGGGA